GGGGGGGGGGTTTGTTGCAGATCAGAAGAAGGAGGAGGAGGAGGAGGCGGCGGCGGCAGCAGCAGCAGCGGCGATGGCTACAGAAGGAGGGAAAACCTCTGAGCCAGAGAATAACAATAAAAAACCCAAAACCTCAGGCTCCCAGGTAAAAGCAAACATAAAAAAATTCATCACGAAACGTAAGGGGAGAGAGGGAGTTATGTCCTTTAATTGCCCAGAACTGAAGAACAGAATACAAATGTTCATCCACTCAAAGCATCTTTCTGAGAGTGAGGAAGTTAAATTGTAAATTCATAAAGATTTCACATGTTTAAGGGATAACGTTGTTTAAAATTACATCAGGAACTCAGACCAGTAGAAAACGGTGTGTATTTTCCCAAGGGCATTTTGAGTTTATGAGAATATACTTTACAAAAGTTTCTTAGAAATTTCCTTTTATTTGAACTTTATATTACAGTATCTGTTTCCTTTTTTCCTCTATTTTCTTGCTCTTGTTACTATTTCTTTTTGATTTCTGTCATTGCCTAAGTAAGTTCTGAAATGTAGAGCTGTCAAAATAAATAAATAAATAAACAAACAAACAGACCCCTTCCATCTACTGGCCTCCACTAAATCCGCCCACTTTTTTTTCCCCCTTTGCTTTATCATCCCATTTTTGGGTAGGACTCTCAGCCCTCTCCTCTGGCTTTACTGGCAGCTACTTGCAGCAAAATAGGGACTCCTGGTGAAAATCAAGCAACTGGACAACAACAAATTATTATAGATCCAAGCCAAGGATTGGTGCAACTTCAAAATCAACCACAACAGCTAGAACTGGTAACAACACAACTTGCTGGAAACACTTGGCAACTTGTTGCCTCCACTCCTCCTGCTTCAAAAGAAAATAACGTTTCTCAGCCAGCTTCTAGTTCATCTAGTTCTTCCAGCAGTAATAACGGGAGTGCATCTCCTACAAAAACGAAATCAGGTAATTCTTCCGCCCCTGGTCAATTTCAAGTTATACAAGTACAAAATCCGAGTGGTAGTGTCCAGTACCAAGTGATTCCACAACTTCAGACAGTGGAAGGCCAGCAGATTCAAATCAATCCAGCTAGTAGTTCATCTCTACAGGATTTGCAGGGTCAAATCCAGCTCATTTCTGCAGGTAATAATCAAGCTATACTCACAGCTGCTAACAGGACAGCTTCTGGGAATATTCTTGCTCAAAACCTGGCAAATCAGACCGTTCCAGTCCAAATTAGACCTGGTGTTTCAATACCACTGCAATTACAGACCCTTCCTGGTACTCAGGCTCAAGTTGTAACAACCCTACCAATTAACATTGGAGGAGTGACTTTAGCTTTGCCAGTGATAAACAACGTGACTGCTGGAGGAGGGACTGGACAGGTTGGCCAGCCTGCTACTACTACTGATAGTGGGACTTCCAACGGGAGTCAGTTAGTTTCCACACCCACCACTACCACCGCTTCTGCCAGTACTATGCCGGAATCTCCCTCCTCCTCCACTACCTGCACAACCACTGCTTCGACGTCTCTGACAAGCAGTGACACGTTAGTGAGCTCAGCAGACACGGGCCAGTATGCAAGCACATCAGCCAGTAGTTCTGAACGCACTATTGAAGAATCTCAAACACCTGCTGCTACTGAGTCTGAAGCGCAGAGCTCCAGTCAGCTTCAGTCTAATGGAATACAGAACACACAGGATCAATCAAATTCTCTTCAGCAGGTGCAGATTGTAGGCCAGCCTATCTTACAGCAGATCCAGATCCAACAGCCTCAGCAACAGATTATTCAGGCTATTCCGCCGCAGTCATTTCAACTTCAGTCAGGGCAGACAATTCAGACCATCCAGCAGCAGCCTTTGCAGAATGTTCAACTTCAAGCAGTAAATCCGACTCAGGTGCTTATCAGGGCTCCAACTTTAACACCTTCAGGGCAAATCAGTTGGCAAACTGTACAGGTTCAGAATATTCAGAGTCTTTCAAATTTGCAAGTTCAGAATGCTGGGTTATCCCAACAATTAACCATCACCCCAGTGTCTTCAAGTGGTGGCACAACCCTTGCTCAAATTGCTCCTGTGGCTGTTGCTGGTGCCCCAATAACTTTGAATACTGCCCAGCTTGCATCAGTGCCTAACCTTCAGACAGTGAGTGTTGCCAACCTGGGTGCTGCAGGTGTTCAAGTTCAAGGAGTTCCAGTTACAATCACTAGTGTTGCAGGTAAGTTACTACAATCTTTTCTCTGTAAGATCCTTTCATACAGTTTTTAATAAGTTACTGCTTTTCTTTGCTAACTTAGATTTGAAGACCTCTGACATAAACATAATCACAGGGAATCTAAAAGGACAGGAATGTTAACTTCCGTAACTAGTCATCGTGTGACCCATTCGCGTCTGTACGTTTTAATGTTAGGTTGTAGAAGTTATATTTGTTAGACAGTTTTATCAACTTATTTTTCCATGGAGCAAAACTTCCTGATTAGAATCAAAATTGTCTTCTGTAGTTTAGAGATATTTGAATACACTTGAACTCTTCAGAAAGAACTCTAATAAAAAAGATGTTAAAGATGTTTGTATCTTTAAAAGAAAGTAGGTTGAAAGTTGAATTAATACGTGGTTGTGAATCTGTTGAAGTTTTAATTCGGCTTTGTAATAAGTCTAACTTTTTCTTCAATTGGAAGTTATTTCTCATTCAGCATCTCGTTGCTCATGCTTTTGCGTTTTTTTTACAGTGTTGTTTTAAACTAGGTTTTGATGCAGTTTAGAGATACAGTTTTAAGTTGCAAATTGATTAATTTTTTATGTCTACTTTTCTGTTAAAACCAGCATTTTCTCAGGATTTTGTATTAGTAGTTATTCGCATATAAAATTGTATATAAATCTTATGGTTCTGTTATTTTTAGGCATTTTTTAGTGTGAAGTTGTTGAAAAGCAATTAAGAATGAAAATAGTAAAATGTCACTAACTTGAATTAATTGCAGTAAGGTCGTTTTAAAAACCAATTATAAAGCAATTGTTTGTTATGTATGTAAAGAGATTTCTGAAGTATTTGTGAAACTAGACTTACTAAGTATTTTAAATTTTCTTGACTTGTCTTATTTTACCTAATACTTTTTGTTTTCTAGTAATTAAACACTTTTTACTGATTCTGATTAGGTGCAAACCTACTTGTGGTTTTCATGCCTTTGATAGTGTCAGGTCTCTAGTTAAATATTTTTATGTTGATAATATGAATGAGCACATCACTTTTTAATGACCTTTCTAGAAATAAGTTCTAGAAAAATTATGCTAAACTGTTTGTTTTACAGTTAATACCTAAAGTAGTTGTATATATTTATGATTGGAAATTGCCAAATAGAGCTCTCTTGTCAGGAAGAATAGAGATTACATGTTATATTTAGATGCCCATAACCTCTAAACCAGATCTTTCCAGTAGAATTTTCTGTGATGAACAAGTGTTGTACATCCTATCCAGTGTGTTAGCCACTAGCCATATGCGGCTCTTGAGCATTTAAAATGTGGCTAGTGCATCTGAAGAACTGAATTTTTAATTCATTTAATTTTAATTTAAATAGCCACGTGATTAGTGGCTTTTTGTATTGACAGGACAGTAACCTAATCAAAGAGTATTTTGAGTGTGGTACTTTTCCCCCTAAAACTATTGCAGGACAATTATATAAGTGTTTCTCTGTATTACAGTCCATAGATTGTTTTCTTCCTGTTCTTTTCCTAAACGTTGACAGTATCTTAAGTATTTGAGAAAAATATCTATTTTTGGTGGATTGTTTGACAGTTTGCATTATCAAAGCAAAAGTTAGTTCACTTAAATTTTGATTTGCCTATTAAGCATTAGTTGTGAATTATGCTTAAGAGGATTGAGTAACTTATAAGTTAGGTCAGGAATAGTCAATTCTTATGTACTCTCATTGGTATCAGTTACAGCCCCTTGTCTATCATGAGGGTGAGTCATTGATACTAAGAGTATGATCTTCTGACCACCTAACTCAGATTTATTTGAATGTTGTATTATTATGAATGCAGCATCCACTTTCTGGAACTATAACTTTTGGGGGTGTGGTCAAGGAATTTGCCTATCAGATAAACTTTCCAGGTCATTCTAAATTCTCGTTGAAATTTGAGAACCAAGGAAGGATCTAATCATTACTAGTGAACCGTAAAGCAAAATGTGGAAGCAGATGGGTGTTGGACCTAGTTCATGTATGCCTCAAAGAATGGATTTTAATGACAAAAAGAATTTACAGTTTTTATTTCACAAGCATGTATTGACTAGCCACATGCTGAGTACTCCCAATAGGTATGTTTAGTCTTCCATTTTCTGGGTTTTTTGGTTTTTTTTTTTTTTTAAGAGTTTACATGATTTGAATGTCGCTTAAGTGTATAAGGAAATTTAAACTTTATGTAGTTGGATTTTTTCTCTTGAAACCAAAGATTTTAAATTTTGTTGATGTTGAAGAGTTTATGTTCAAATAGATATGCTCAATCATTTTAAGAAGATAACCATGTTACAAAGATCAGAAATGTACCAATTTTTGCAAGTCAATGCAGTTCATCTGAGACTCGTTCATAGATTTTTACTTTATTTTTTTGCTATAGTAGGTGCTTGACAAATGTTTGCTGAATTAAGGCATAGAAGGTGATGGAGAAGATAGCAGTTTGAAATTGGGAGCAAGGCCTGGAGTGGTTTTAATGAAGCTGGTGAAATGGCTTTATTTTCATTAATGTCTTTTGGCTTTGAGTTTTTAAGACATCAACAGTAGACACCAGGTGCTTTACTCTCTCTAGAAGAGGGAGAATGAGCAAAAAGTACGTACATATCCCTTTTATAAATGAGTCCTGTAAGTTCTGATCTTTTACTTTGTGTCCCCATTTACTTTTTGTTACTTTTTGACTGTTTTATATATCTATTTCCTTCCCCCAAATAGTATTGATTTTGTTTAATTCGTGGAGAAAATTTTTGTTCTAAATATTCATGACAGCTTTTACGAGGCTTGAAAAAAATTCTTAAAAAAATTTTTTTTAATGTTTTATTTATTTTTGAGAGAGAGAGAGAGAGCAGGGGAGGGGCAGAGAGAGATGGAGAAACAGAGCCCGTCGCAGGGCTTGAACTCATAAACTGCAAGATAATGACCTGAGCTGAAGCTGGATGCTTGACTGACTGAGCCACACAGGTGTCCCTTGAAAAAATTCTTAATAGTCGGCTTTGACAAAATGCAATGACTCAGTCAATACCCAGGGGCTAAAAGTTATCTGCCATCCATCCTCATGTCACTCTTGGAGATACGGGAAGGTTCTGGATGATACGGATAGGAAAAAAAATTGGATAAGGTAGATCAAATGAAACCAGTTCTTGAGGCTAGGGAGCTTCATACTTGATTTTATGAAAAGAGAATGTTAGTGACAACTTAGGGGGAATCTCTTGCCATGGTACTGAATTCGACATAATGTGTTTCTGTGGTTTGGTCTCCTCTCAGAATCTTGACTTTCCAGGCTGAGTATCTAGCATTTAATTAGTTGGAATTAAGTAGGAACTAAGTACATGTTGCCCTTACATACTTATATACTTTGTTTCCTTGTTGGATTATGAGTTTGACTTTGAAGGAAAAGCAGAAATCCCTTTTAAAGAGCACAGGTAACGAATCATTTTTCTGGTTTAAGAACATCCTTTAACTAAGTGAGGAAAGTAAGATTTTTGTTCTAAAAGGACTACCAGTTTGCACAGTGTGCTCAGGTAGTCAAAGAGCCCTAGGTAAAATGAACATTAGGAGTTACACCTTCTTAAACAATTTAGAACATGTAGGGACCATTGATATCTAAATCTGTAATTAACTTGCATTGGCTAGTGACTTTCTTTGGTTTTGGCCTTAATTGGCCAAAGAACCTGTGTTTGCTTGATGGATGGATATTTCTTTGTCAATGTTAGTGGTAATTAACATTTTAAGGCTAATTCTTACACAAAGGAAGTTCAAACTTGAAGATAAGATGTTGCTGGCCCTTTAAGAACTTGACTCTCCAACCTTCCTTTACCTTTTTGGATTTAAAGTATGAAACCTGGGGATCATCAATGGGAAGGCCAGTTCTTCATAATTAGGGAAAATGGGGGCCAAAGAAAATAATTGATATATATATATATATTTAATTTGGAAACTTTAGTACAATCAACTTTTTTTTTAATGTTTATTTATTTATTTTGAGAGAGAATGTAGGGACAGGGGGAGTTGGCAGAGAGAAAGGGGGAGAGAGAGAGAGAGAG